CACTCCCTAGAGGTAAAATGCTGCTCTTGAGCACAGGTTCAGGAAAAGCTTTTCAGTCGTTTTGAGCCAAGGTTTTTCACAGCAGGCTTAAACCCAACCAAAGGCCTTAAAACATCCCCAGGCACTAATAAAGATATCTAAGCAACTTCTAGCCTAGATGTATGAGCTGGGCTTGTGCAAGAATCATCACCCATAATTCTTCTGAATGACTGCAACAGAAGTCTACCTTCCTTAGAGCTCTCCCAGAAATACTGGTTATATTCCTTTCTTCAGTATATGCATACCTTAGTCACAGTTCTTTTGGGGCTACTCTGCCAATTCAGCAGGACAAAACATGTTTACAACCTGGCAGAAGCATGAATCGGGTCAGGTCTAGGGAGCAGAGTAGCAGAAACTCATATACTATCTTTAAGTCATGGCCAAAGGATAACTCATGTTCAACTTCACCCATGTCTCAAGGAGTATCTAATTTGATTTAAATGAACTGTGTACAGGCGGGATGCGGTGGTTTATGTCTGTAATCCCAGCACTTTGGGAGGCCAAGGTGGGCAGATCATGAGTCAAGAGATCGAGACTATCCTGTAGTCCTAGCTACTCGGGAGGCTGAGACAGGAGAATCACTTGAACCCAGGAGGTGGAGGTTGCAGTGAGCCGAGATCGCACCACTGCACTCCAGCCTGACGACAGAGCAAGACTCCATCTCAAAAAATAAAAATAAAACATGAACCATGCACAACCAGCAACACACAAAAAAACCTCATGGAATAACATGAGAGCAGTTCACCCCACCCACTACCAAAAACAAAACAAACAAAAACAGGGAAGGAGTTCTTGTATCTGTGTGTGCATGGTTTCTATTTGTATTGTAAACAAAAACTACAAATAACAGATACTATGAATGCATTTTTTAAGCTTTATGAAGTTTATGTAGTTAATAATGATGTCTTCGTGTTAGTTATGAAATTACATTTGTTCATAAACTGCAAGACAACTTTGAGTACATAGAGATCCATCTCATTTTCTGTAACTACATACTGATCTACTAAACTGATTATCTGTAACGTAAGTAACCCACAACTTTACTAGTTCTAAACATTTTTTCCAAATTTTTCACAATTCTACAACGTATTTGCTTATGCATATATATTTCTGCACTTGTGCTTTTTGAGAACATAAATGACTAGGTGTAGAATTGTGGCAAAGGGTAATTACATCCAAAATGCTGACAGGTAACACCACATTGCCCTTTAAAATGGCTTTCCTCTAATTTACCCTGTCAATATATGAAAATATGGTCTCTCGTACATCTGTAACAATACTGGATATTATCCAAACTTTACATTCACATAAAATTTCTGCTGGTTTGTGTTGGTGGTGATGAGGACTTTTACAGTCTGCATTTATCTGATCATTAGTGAGGTTGAGAACTTCTTCTATTTAACCATTTTAATTTCTTCATCCAATAAATTTTGTTGACGTGCTCTGCAAGACTGTGTACCTTATCCTTGCTGCTTTCCAACAGCCCTTTTTCAAGGGCTATATCCTTTCTAATGTATGTTTAAGATATCTCTCAGCCTGTCATATGCCTTTTAACTTTGCATACAGTATCTTATGCCATGAAAAAGGTTTAAATCTTCTACATAGTCCTGTCATTCTCCATGGCTTCTGGACCATGTCCTGCTTCCCAAAGACTTCCTGAACCTAAAGGCACAGAAATACTCTACATTCTCCTCTACCATTGTAACAGTATTTCCTCTTACATCTGTAACCAGTATAGAATGAACTTCTGTGTAAGGAATAAAATGGGATGCTGACTTTATTTCCAGTTGGATAACTGTCAAAGACATTTAATCTCCCCCAATGATACATCGAAAACACTTCTGCAATATAAAAAACCCATGGGATATGACCTTCTACAAAATCTCCCTTCTGATAGCTCCCTAATTAACACTCAACATGAATTTCAGAACTGTCAATGTAAAAGTAACCTACAGGATTACAATATTGAAATATTCATCTAGGATCATGTTATGGATCTCCATTTATTCAGAGCCTCTGTTCTCCATCAGTAGAGGCTAATAATTTCCTTTTGTATATAACTAAGTAAACTCACCTATACTTTCATTTTTTTCCCCTTGGTTTGATATGAGTTGACTTAGCCTCATGAAAGAAGTGGAACATTTTAAGTGTGTGTGTGTTTTTTAAAATACACTCCAGAACAACTTTACTAGTGGATCCTTGAAAGGTTAGACTAAATCTGTGAACCCACATGTTGAAATACAACTATATTACTCAATTTCTCTTTCTTCAGTTAAACATTAGTTTTTTGTTTTGTTTTGTTTTTGCTTGACTAAATACAGTCTTTTATATATTCTCCCCAGGAATTCTAATTCTTTTGTTCATTTTATCCAGAGCTATATAGCCACTTCTTAAAACATGTTCTGTGCATCAAGTCATAATTAATTTCCTCACCAACAAGGGAACACAGCCTTAATCATGAGAGAGCCACTCTGATGTTTTATTATAATATTAAATGTTAAGCATACTACATGTGCTAATCACCGTCTACCTTAAGATACTGTTTTAAGTCAGGCTGGTTGCCTGTAATTCCAGCCACTTGAGAATGAGGTGGGAGGATCACTTGAGCACAGGAGTTTGAGATCACCCTGGGCAACATAGTAAGACCCCGTTTAAAACTTTTTTTAGTTTAAAAAAAGATACTGTTTCGGTTCCAAAATTTTTACGATTGCCAAACTGCTTTCAAGAATACACTGTTTAAAAATAACTTACATCAACTCTGAAGAATACTTATCTAACATTTACCAAGTACTTAGTATGAGCTGATCATTTTGCTAAGCACCCTATGTACATCAAGTATTTTAACTAGAGTTTTAAGAGAGTAATTTAATTTGCATTTTTCAAGGGTCACTGTGGCTGTAATGTTAACTCGAAAGGGACAAAAGAGGATGAAGTTTTAGAATTCACGGGTATCCAACCCATTGAATGTGAGGACTTTTATGCTTATTTGAGATGGTGTATCACTAAAATTATGCATAGACTTTTTTTTTCTTAGCTCATCAGCTATTGTTAATGTTACTGTATTGTATGTGTGGCACAAGACAATTTTTCTTCTTCCAATGTGGCCCAGGGAAGACAAAAGGTTGGACACCTGTGTAATGACTGAAATAGTCAAGGTGAAATGACTGTGTTTTGAACTGGGGAACGAAAAGAAGTGGATAAATTCCAAAAGTATTTAGCAGATATATCCACAGGACTTGGTGATGTAGTGGGTGAGGGAGAGCTGGATGCCTGAAATGAACTCACTGATGAGCAAGGTGTGCATTTCGTCTGAAGACATTTGCACATTCTTTACATTGTTAAGACCTCTTTGCAGTATGAATTCCTCCATGTAAAGCATTCAATCTGGCTGCAGGTTTTTCTTGTGTATGCTTCGCGAAGTTTTCATGATGTGTTTTTCAGTTCCATCAGGTCATATGTTCTTCTCTAAACTGGTTATTCTAGTTAGCAATTCCTCGAACCTTTTTTCAAGGTTCTTAGCTTCCTTGCATTGGGCTAGAACATGCTCCTTTAGCTCACAGGAGTTTATTACCCACCTTCTGAAGCCTACTTCTGTCAATTTGTCAAACTCATTATCTACCAGTTTTGTTCCCTTGCTGGCGAGGAATTGTGATCCTTTGGAGGAGAAGAGGCATTCTGGTTTTTGGAGTTTTCAGCCTTTTCGCACTGCTTTCTCCCCATCTTCATGCATTTATCTACCCTTGGTCTTTGATGCTGGTGACCTTCAGATGGGGTTTCTGTGTGGATGTCCTTTTGTTGATGTTGATGATATTCCTTTTTGTTAGTTTTCCTTCTAACAGTCAGGCCCCTCTGCTGCAGGTCTGCTGGAGTTTGCTGGAGGTCCACTCGAGACCCTGTTTGCCTGGGTATCACCAGTGGAGGCTGCAGAACAGCAAAGATTGCTGCCTGTTCCTTCCTCTGGAAGCTTTGTCCCACAGGGGCACCCACCAGATGCAAACTGGAGCTCTCCTGTATGAGGTGTCTGTGGACCCCTGCTGGGAGGTGTCTTCCCATCAGGAGGCATGGGGGTCAGGGACCCACCTGAGGCAGTCTGTCCCTTAGCAGAGCTCGAGCACTGTGCTGAGAGAACTGCTGCTCTCTTCAGAGCTGGCAGGCAGGAACGTTTAAGTCTGCTGAAGCTGTGCCCACACCCACCACTTTCCCCCATGTGCTCTGTCCCAGGGAGATGGGGGTTTTATCTGAACTTTTTTCAGAGATGCCCTGCACAGAGAGGAGGAATCTAGAGAGGCAGTCTGGCTACAGAGGCTTTGCTGAGCTGTGGAGGGCTCTGCCCAGCTGGAACTTCCCCGTGGCTTTGTTTATGCTGTGAGGGGAAAACCACCTATTCAAGCTTCAGTAATGGCAGATGCCCCTTCCCCCACCAAGCTTGAGCATCCCAGGTCGACTTCAGACTGCTGTGCTGGCAGTAAGAATTTCAAGCCAGTGGATCTTAGCTTGCTGGGCTCAGTGGGCATGAGCCCACTTAGGTCAATCACTTGGCTCCCCGGCTTCGGCCCCCTTAACAAGGGAGTAAGTGGTTCTGTTTCACTGGTGTTCCGGGTGCCACTGGGGTATCAAAGAAAACTCTTGCAGCTAGCTTGGTGTCTACCCAAATGGCCGCCCAGTTTTGTGCTTAAACCCAGGACCTTGGTGGCATAGGCACCCAAGGGAATCTCCTGGTCTATGGGTTGCAAAGACTATGTGAAAAGCTTAGTATCTGCACCAGAGTGCACCATTCCTCATGGCACAGTCCCTCATGGCTTCCCTTGGCTAGGGGAGGGAGATCCCCGACTCCTTGCACTTCCCAGATGAGGTTACGCCCCACCCTGCTTCGGCTCGCCCTCCATGGGCTGCACCCACTGTCTAACCAGTCCCAATGAAATGAGCCGGGTACCTCAGTTGGAAATACAGAAATCACCCACCTTCTGTGTTGCTCTCATTGGGAACTGCAGACCAGAGCTGTTCCTATTCAGCCATCTTGCCAGCCTCTGGCTGAAGGTTTTTCTACATTTCTTACGTTTATGTTTTTCAACCAGTGAGACATCGCTGATTAACAGTAAGGGATTGATGATAACTAAAGGCTTGGCCACATGCACTACATTCTTAAGGTTCTTCTCCAGTATGACCTCTTTGATGATAAATTAAGGATAACTTTCTTCTGAATGCCTTCCCACATTCAAAACACTGATAGGGCCTTTGGCCAGTGTGGAGTCTTTGATGTTGAGCACAGGATGAGCTATCACTAAAAGCCTTTCCACATTCAGTACATTTATAGGGTTTCTCTCCAGTATGAATTCTTTGATGTTGAGTAAGATTGGAAGTTTGGCTGAAGGCTTTCCCGCATTCATTACACTCATAAGGTTTCTCTCCTGTATGAGTTTTCTGATGTTGGGCAAGGTGTGATCTCTGTTTGAAAGCATTTCCACATTCAATACATTCATAAGGCTTCTCTCCAGTATGAATTCTCTGATGAGTAGCCAGCTGCGAACTGATTCTAAAAGCTTTTCCACATTCTTTACATTCATAGGGTTTTTCACCAGTATGAATTCTCAAATGACTAACAAGGTGTACATTCTGCCTAAAGGCTTTCCCACATTCCTTGCATTCATAAGGTTTCTCTCCAGAATGTACTCTTTGATGCTGAGTGAGTGATGCATGATGGCTAAAATCTTTCCCACATATATCACATTCATAAGGTTTCTCTCCAGAATGTACTCTTTGATGCTGAGTGAGTGATGCATGATGGCTAAAATCTTTCCCACATATATCACATTCATAAGGTTTCTCTCCTGTGTGAATTCTCTGATGTACAGTACGGGATGAACCAGAGCTGAAGGTTTTTCCACACACATCACATTTGTAAGGTTTCTCTCCTGTATGAATTCGCCTATGCAGAATAAGTCCTATGTGAACACTGAAAGCTTTCCCACAATCAATGCAATTAAAAGGCTTCTCTCCAGTATGATAACTCCTCCAGTGACGAATAAAAGATGTGTTATACCTAAAAGCCTTCCCACACTCAATACATTCATAGGGTCTTTTCCCAGTGTGACATCTCTGATGGCGAGCAAAAGATGAGCCATCACTGAAGGCTTTGCCACATTCTTTACATTCATAGGGTTTCTCTCCAGTATGAATTCTCTGATGCTGAGCAAGGTGTGCAGGCTGTCTGAAGGCTTTTCTACATTCCTTACATTTATATGGCTTTTCTCCAGTATGAATTCTTTGATGTTGAATAAGGTGTTCACTTTGTTTGAAGGCTTTCCTACATTCTTTACATTCAAAGAGTTTCTCTCCAGTATGTGTTCTGTGATGTTGAGCAAGGTGTTGCCTTTGCTTGAAGGCTTTTCCACATTCCTCACATTCATATGGTTTTTCACCAGTATGAATTCTAAAATGAACAGTAAGGGATGAGCTATGGGTGAAGGTTTTGTCACATTCATTACATTTAAAAAGCTTCTTTCCTACATAGACTTTCTTGTGTTTTATTACCATAGAATTTTTGGAGAAGCTTTTTTTATCTGATGTGTGATTATAAATATTCTCTTCTATGTTTTCCAGATGGATACATTTCCCAAATTTAGTATATTTGAATTCTGTTTCCTTAGTGAGGGTTTCTTTATGAGTGATTGTTTCTTTCTTGCTAAAAATATTGTGACTTCCCATCTGCTTCTCAAAAAGGTCTTCCCATTTCCAGTTTTCTTCAAAAGTGGAACACTCAAGTCCATAGCTTGTAATTCCCTCCATGCATGCATCATCATACATGAACTGCTTCAGAGGTAATTCCTGTGTCTCATATATAGATTCCCAATCTGAAATATATAAAAAAAGTGAATGTTTCCTTTATCATGGCTACATCAAAGGAGACATTGTGAAAAAGGTAATTTAAAAATATTTAATAAATCTCACAAAACCTGTTATGTACAGGCATGTCAACTGGAAAATATGCAGGGAGACCCCAAGAAAGACAGCTCATGAAGGAACATGGAAAAGGTGATTAAGAAAACTAAATGGGCTAGGTGTAGTGGTTCAGGCCTATAATCCCCAGCACTTTGGGAGGCTGAAGTGGACTGCTTGAGCCCAGGAGTTCAAGACCAGTCTGGGCAACATGGCAAAACACCATCTCTGCAAAAAATACAAAAATTAGTCAAGCATGGTGGTACATGCCTGTAGTCCCAGTTACTCAGGAGGCTGAGGTCAAAGGATCACTTGAGCCCAGGAAGTTGAGGCTGCAGTGAGTCACGATTGCCCTACTGCACTCCAGCCTAGGCAGAGCGAGACCCTGTCTCAAAACAAAAACAAAAACAAAAAACAAAAACCTCAATGTAGGATGAAATCCTAGAGAAGTAGTCTGCTATGGTAATATTTCATGCCTGTATTGACCTAACAGACTATAAATTAAGCTCTCTTCATCTACTCTCTTCCACTTGTAATTGGTTTTCATATATAGTTACGTTAACTTTGTTTAAATACCAATATCGTATCACTACTGCTGCTGAAAACTCTCTAGAGATCTCCAGTAACCACATACCCTATGGTTTGTGATTATCTTAGGATTTAGGTGAAATCCTATGGTTATCTTTTCATAATCAGAAAATGGTGTTCCAATGAAATCATCTACATGTTTTGATAAAGTGAACTTTTCAATTCTGAGTTCCCTGAACTTTAATCTGCATATTGAGAGATTTTTTTCCATTCACCTTACTTTCAACAGCCTGGTAAAATGATCACTTCTTAGACCACCTTTTTATTAAAAAAAAAAAAAAAAAGAGAGAGAGAGAGAGGGTTTCACTTAGTTGTCCGGGCTGGAATGCAGTGGCATGACCATAGCTCACTAATTCCTGGGCTTAAGCAATCTTCCCACCTTCTTTTGAGTAGCTAGGATTACAGGTGTTAGCCACTATACCCAGCACCTTAAGCCACTGCTTAATAGGGTTTTACCATTTCCCCTTTTGAAGAAATGAATTTTATAATGATATGTAGGTTGATATCACTATTAATCACATTCTTATTTACTACCACGAGTAACTTTCTTAACTGCTGACCTAGAACATAAGTTTAGAGAAGGAATAAATGTCCTTTAAAAATTATTGCAACATCGGCCAGGCGCAATGGCTCATGCCTATAATCCCAGAACTTTGGGAGGCGGGCATATCACCTGAGGTCAGAAGTTTAAAGACCAGCCTGGCCAATGTAGTGTAACCCCATCTCTAGTAAAATCACAAAATTAGCGGGACATGGTGTCACCTGCCTATAATCCCAGCTACCTGGAAGGCTAAAGCAGGAGAATCACTTGAACCCAGGAGGCATAGGTTGCAGTGAGCCGAGACTGCGCCATTGCTCTCCAGCCTGGGCAACAAGAATGAAACTCATCTCAAAAAAAAAAAAAAAGAAAAAAGAAAAAAGAAAAAAATATTGCTACATCACTTACCATAGATAGAAGAAATCTGGGCATATATAAAAAGTTATCAGTAAAATATAAAGAAATTTATATTGAAGAGGTGATACTGAGAGAAAACCTGAGGGAAAAGGTGGTTCAAGAAAAGGCAAAGGAAGTACTTTCCTTTTCTATGTCATCCATAGGAAATCATTGACTAATCCAACATTTCCTAAGCAATTATACATTATGCACTAAGCATTAGTGATATCAAAGTAATGAAGGAATTGTTCTTGAAAAGTTTAGAAAGTAATTAGGAAGACAAGACCAACAACAAAAAAGTAATTTGAGAAGATAATATAAAACATAATCAAGTGTGAGCCCATGTGATAAAGATTAAATTGTTATAAAAGTTCAGAGATGGGAAAGATCAAATCCACTAGAGCAGTTAAGAAAGGTTTTGAGGTATTAACAAGCTTTGTAGTTCAGGTCTTCATGGTATCAGGAATATCCAGTGTCTTGAATAACTTGGGTTGCTATAACAAAATAATATTGTGTCGCTTAATGATGGGGACATGCTCTGAGAAATGCATCATTACGGATGGGCAATTACACAGCATACTTACACAAATCTTGATGGTATAGCATACTGCACACTTCACCTATATGGCCTACCGCTCCTGGTCTACAAGCCTGTGCAACATGTTACCATACTGAATACTACAGGCAATTGAAGCGCAATGGTATTTAAATGTTTAGATATGTTTGTATCTAAACATATACAAACATAAAGAAGGTAAAGTATGATATGAGGACATTTTATATATATATTTTTTGAGACAGGGTCCCCTCTGTCACCAGACTGGAGTACAATGGTATGATCATGGCTCACTGAATCCTCAAACTCCTGGGCTAAAGTGATCCTCCTGCCTAGCTTCCTGAGTAGCTGGGAGTACCAAGTGCATGCCACCATGCCCAGCTAATTTTTTATTTTTAGTAGAGACAAGGTCTTGCTGTTGCCCAGGCTGGTCTAGAACTTCTGTTGAGGCAATTCTCCCACCTCAGCCTCTCAAAGTACTGCGATTATAGGCATGAGCCACCATGCCAAGCAATAGAAGAGATTTTTTTTTTTTTTTGAGATGGAGTCTCCTCACTCTGTTGCCCAGGCTGGAGTGCAATGGCATGATCTCGGCTCACTGCAAGTTCCACCTCCCAGATTCATGCCATTCTCCTGCCTCAGCCTCCCGAGTATCTGGGACTACAGGCACCCGCCAGCACACCTGGCTAATTTTTTTTTTTTTGAGATGGAGTCTCGCTCTGTAGTCCAGGCTGGAGTGCAGTGGCCAGATCTCAGCTCACTGCAAGCTCCGCCTCCCAGGTTTATGCCATTCTCCTGCCTCAGCCTCCCGAGTATCTGGGACTACAGGTGCCCGCCAGCTTGCCTGGCTAGTTTTTTGTATTTTTTGTAGAGACGGGGTTTCACCATGTTAGCCAGGATGGTCTCGATCTCCTGACCTCGTGATCCGCCCGTCTCGGCCTCCCAAAGTGCTGGGATTATGGGTGTGAGCCACTGCACCCAGCCAGAAGAGATTTTTTTAAAGTTACACCTGTATAGGGCAGCTCCATCATAATCTTCTATGACTGTCTTAATATGCAGTCCATAATGGATAGATATATTGTTTATGTGGCCCATGACTGTACCATATACTGGGTAGCTTATTGATGTGGTTTGGCTGTGTCCCCACACAAATCTCACCTTGAATTGTAGTAATACCCACATGTCAAGGGTAGAGCCAGGTGGAGATAATTCAATCATGGGGGCAGTTCCCCCGTACTATTCTCGTAGTAGTGAATAAGTCTCACAAGATCTGATGGTTTTGTAAATGGGAGTTCGCCTGCACAAACTCTCTCCTGACTGCCACCACATAAGAAGTGACTTTGCTCCTCCTTTGCTTTCTGTTGTGACTGTCAGAGCTCCCCAGCCATGTGGCACTACAAGTCAATTAAGCCTCTTTCCTTTATAAACTACCCAGTCTCAGGTATGTCTTTATTAGCAGCTTGAGAACAGACTAATACACTTACAAACAACACTTATAACTAAACAGACTAATATACTTATAAAAAATTAGCTGGGCATGGCTAATTTATTTCTCACAGATCTGCAGACTGGGAAATCCAAGATCAAGGCCCAGGCAGATTTGGCATGGGCTGGCTTTCTCACAGATGGTGCCTTCTTCCTGTTTCCCCACACAGTGGAAGGGGCAAGGAAGCTCCTTTGGGCCTTTGATAAAGGTAATAATCCTATTCATGAGCCATCATGACCTAATCACCTCCCAAAGTCCCCACCTACCACTATCACTCTAGAGAAGATAATTTCCACATGAATTTCAGGGGCACACAAACATTCAGACAAGGGTACCCATGCTTCAAGAACTGAGGCAATGTGGGGTTAATGAACTAATCACCTATAATTTTTCCTACATAGACAGACTGAAGATAACAATACTAGAAAAAGACACAGAAAGCTGAGTCCATCATCTACTGTTTTCTCACATTTTACTTTTTTGTCACATGAAGATTGTCTTCAACTTCAATTTCCTACAGAGAGCCATGGTTGTTCCTAATTTTCTGGCCTTTTTAAACAGACACTAAGATATCTTATGCATACAATAATACTTATATCTACACATTGACTCAGCATCCCAACAGACTTATAGCTTCTTCCTTTTCCCTTCTTCTACTTGTTCTTCACAGGGCCAATTATTAGGAAAGTTCTTTTCTGTTTCTCTATTTAAGGCAGATGGCATCTTCATACAAAACCAAAGTATAAAGTGCATCTAAGCAGAGTCTATTTCCCTTCTGATGTGTGGGTATAGTCATCCCTCCTTATCCACAGTGGATACATTTCAAGACCCAGTGGATGCCTGAAACCTGGAATAATACTGAACGCTATATTCACCACACGCAACAGATCTGAAAAGCTAGATGAGACTAAGAGACTAACAGGCAGGTAGGGCATACAGCATGGATGTGCTAGACAAAGGGATGATTCATGATCTGAGCAGGACAGAATAGAAAGGTGCAAGACTTCGTCATACAACTCAGAATGGTGCACGATTTAAAACATATAAATTATTTATTTCTGGAATTTTCCATTTAATATTTTTGGACAGTGGTGGACTGTGGGTAACAAACTGCAGAAGGCAAAACCTTTAATAGGGGGACTATTGTATTTGGAGCACACAGACAGTTTAGGATCCAAATTATCCCAAAATGTAAAGATCAAACACTGTTACATAAGGGAAAGGAGAATGTTTTAAGGTATAATTGTAACGGTATATAATGATATGCCCTTGTCTTTTGGAACTTTAATTTCAATGGGAGAGGCAGAATATAAGCACTGAGCAATAAACAAGTTAACTGTAGGCTTTCCTGAGTATTAGGAAGAAAATAAACAGTGGCACGTTGGGCAGTTATGGGTTGGGATGGAGAAATGTTCATTACATAAGGTGGTTAGGGAAGGCCTCTGATGAGATGATTTTTTAGCTCTGACTTGATATTCAGGGTAGACAGACCCAAGAGAGGAACATTCTGGGTAGAGGAAACAGGAAATGCAAATGCCTGAGTCAGTAAAAAGCTTGGTGAGTTCAGAAAAGTTGACCCATGGGCTAGATGAATACTTATTCAATATGACATCTGTAAAACACAGGTGGAGCAGGCAAAAGAATGATACTGCCTGTGACTCAGAGGCGATCAGATTTGGAATTACCTCTGGACCCATCTAGTCTTCCAAGGCTCTTGACAGACTCAGTAGCTTGGTATACCTGTAACTCACTTGAAACATACCCTCGGTATCTCACATAATTTAGCAAACTCTGGACTAAAGTATAATGAAAAAGCTAAAAAGTAATAAAGAATGAGTTTATAGAAGTAGGAGGGAGCTGGTCAGGAAGAGGCTAACAGGGTTTAGATATTTCCTATCTGCTACAGGAAAGGAATGAAAGAACAGAAGGGTACATTATAATTTGTAAGCAGAACCTAATGCAAGAGTTAAGAAAAGATTTAAGAAACACAAAAGTTTATATATAAAGTCTGTATGGCAAAGCAAAAGGGGATGGTAAGGAGCTGGATAAAGATTTTTGCAAGACAAAAATCTTAAGAGATTTAAGATTCTCTAATCTCTAGAGAATCTTAGTTCTTAGAGAGAAGACAGTCAAGTAGAAGAGAAGATATTTGAGGGGCCCATGTTAAGCATAAAGTTTCCGTTTTCTCCCCCAGGCCTGTAAGGCTGATGTAGAGTTTCTGAGATGCATAAGTGAGAAGGTATCACCTCTAAAAATGGCTGAGCCATGATGTCAAAAAGATTCCTCTCTCTGGTTCTTCCACACTCACCTGAGAAGGGGCTTCTTGTCATCTCACTTGTCATCTCCCAAGGCTCTCTCCCTTGCTCCAATAAGGAGATCACACATGGCTTAGAAATGCAAAGACCTACATATAAAAAAAAGACATGAAAATTGGTCATGTTTTGGGTTATTTCAGAACTATAAGCCAGTTCCTTAATTCTGGTGGAATGATATAGTAGGAATACTAGATAAGAGATAAAGCACATCTGAAGGACAGACTACATAAAACTCTGGAATAGCCTAGTAAGACTGCTAACAGTTAACTCTGAGAACTATTTTATAAGGGGCTTGAGGGCAGAAATTTAGTCCAACATTTTCTGAATATTATCACACAGTAGTAAATGTGGTATTTTAAAAGGTCCCTAGAAAGAGTTTGAAGTTTTGAGATAATTGCCTGCTTTAGAAAAAAATAAATACTCTTTAGGGGAATATGACAGAATCCAGAGGCTCTACAATGTTTTATTTACAGTACACATGAAAAAATTCAAAATTACTTGACATAAGGAAAAAGTGAATCATGCCCATTAGAAAAAGCAAGCAACAGACGCTCATACTGCAATAACAAAGAAGAAATAGCATATGATCTTAAAACAGCTATTATTATATCAATACTTAAGAATATAAAGGCAAATATACTTGTAATGAATGCACACACAGAAAATCTCAGAAAAGAAACTATAAGAAGAACCAAATAAATATTATATAATTTAAAAAATATAACATCTGAAACTTAAAAATTCACTAGATGCACCTAACCAAACACTGAGGGTAAGGATAGAGTCAGGGAATTTGACTATGAATCAACAGAAATTATCCAATCTGAGCTGGGCACAGTGGCTCATGCCTGTAATCCCAGCACTTTGGGAGGCAGAGGTGGGCAGATCACCTGAGGTCAGGAGTTCGAGACCAACCTGGGCAACATGGTGAAACCCTGTCTCTGTTAAAAATAAAAAAATTAGGCCGGGCACAGTGGCTCACACTTATAATCCCAGCACTTTGGAAGGCTGAGGCGGGTGGATCACGAGGTCAGGAGATCAAGACCATCCTGGTTAACATAGTGAAACCCCATCTCTACTAAAAAAATACAAAACAATTAGCCGGGCATGGTGGCAGCCACCTGTAGTCCCAGCTACTCGGGAGGCTGAGGCAGAAGAATGGTGTGAACCCGGCAGGCAGAGGTTGCAGTGAGCTGAGATGGAGCCACTGCACTCCAGCCTGGGCGACAGAGTGAGACTCTGTCTCAAAAAAATAAAAGAAAAAAAAAAAATGAGCTGGGTGTGGTGGTGGGTGCCTGTAATCCCAGCTACCTGGGAGGCTAAGGCAGGAGAATTGCTTGAACCTGGGAGGTGGTGGGCCAAGATTGCGCCACTGCACTCCAGCCTGGGCGACAGAGTGAGACTCTGTCTCAAAAAAATAAAAGAAAAAAAAAAAATGAGCTGGGTGTGGTGGTGGGTGCCTGTAATCCCAGCTACCTGGGAGGCTAAGGCAGGAGAATTGCTTGAACCTGGGAGGTGGTGGGCCAAGATTGCGCCACTGCACTCCAGCCTGGGCAACAGAGCAAGACTGTCTTTTAAAAAAAAAAAAAAGAGAGAGAGAGAGAGAAATTAAAACAGAGAACAAAGATTTTTAAAAGTGAAACAATCCTTAGTTACCTAGGGCACAATATCAAACAATCTAACATAGGTGTAACTGAAGTCCCAAAACATAAAAGAACAGAAAAAAAGATTTGAAGAAATAATGGCTAAAAATTTCCCAAATTTGGTTTAAGATATAAATTTAGTTTCAAGAAGCTCAATGAACCACAAGCATAATCAAAAGGGCTTCTAGAGAACAGAAAGCTAATTTAGCCAATGAGGTGGCCCCAGTGCTTAGAAGAAAAGGCCATATGAATTTCCCTAACTGTAAGCGATCTGAAGCCATTTTCAGTTTGTGTCTTCAGTTTGTTACTTATCACAAGTTAATATAAAGATACAGATTTTAAAAGTGATATTCTGAATTTATAGTAATCTAGCTATATATTCTTTGTGAACCTTGTTGTTGTCTAGTGGTGATAATAATTCTGTAGGAGAGAGAGAACAAAGAAACCCAGGAGACTGGTGAGATTCACATTGTGTCCTGTGTTCCCAATTGCCTTAAGGGTGTACGCATGGAATATCTGATATTCACCAAATTCACTAACTCTAAATCTCAAGTTTTCTTCAGTCCCTCAATATCCTCTGTTTCTCAGATTCCATTCCCAGATTCCATTCTGACCTACATATAACAAAAACAAATTTCATAATATATAAAAACATAAAAATTCCTTAAAAGTAGATTATGCAGGAGGGAAAAGATCCTCACCAAGTGATACCAGGCTCTGATAGTTCTCCAACATCATACTCCTGTATAAATGCTTCTGAGCAGGGTTCATCCATTGCCATTCTTCCTGGGAAAAATCTATTGCCACATCCTTGAATGTCACTAAGTCCTGAAGTGATAAATATATTCTTAACTGACCAATACTCACGTCCAAAGATAACTCTGAGTTGATCCAAGATGTCTCTACTTTATGTGAGAAATAACTCATAGAAGAGAAAAAACATAAATATGAAGATCCAAGTCAAAATAGTACTTATGGAAGTGTTTAACTGCATTGGGTACAATGGTGCCAACCAATTCCGAACATAGGGAAATGTGCGTGCATAACTACAAGGCAGTGAAGAGGGCTTCAAGGAAGAACACATACCTGTGTTGAATCTTCAAAAGCATAAAAGGAATATCTAAATTGATTTTTTTTAAATGATTCTCCATGGGATCCAAGTTTTATTGGCAGGGATAGGAGAAAGGCATTGAACTAATGTGGCTGATTTTTTTTTTCTTAAATAATAAAAACATGTTTAAGAATGCAATTTTCTTATGTCTGCATCAGTGAATACTGTGTTTTCCACCAACGGTTGGTAGAACCCACAGTTGCAGAACAAAATGAAATTGAAGTTATAACTTTTAAATGTTCTTGGAGAAAAATTAATGACCAGTTATAATCACCAGCAGGTTGTAAGAAATTTTAAAAGTTATTGTGGGCATTTTTCACCTTCAGATTTATTTCCATTGAAAATGAATATCTTCTTAATCTTAGTGCCTGATTTGCAAAGTTATCAAAAATATAACTAAATAAAGACAAGGTTAGGAGCACAACATTTTAATTTGCTTTAAACAGTAATCTCTGTATCATGTCTTTGCTCTAAAGATTAGTGTTTAAAAGCAAATTTTAAGCAGATATTCAATGTAGGGGACTTCAGAAGATATACATACCTTTAGAAAAATGTTTAATATATTTTTCATATAAAAGAATTACAAAATTGTTTGTTTCTCTGTGAACTCTCTGTTTTCCTGAATTCTAGTTTTCACCTTCTAGTAAGTTGAGAACTAAGAACCACCATTTCACATATTCTTATAAAATGAGATGAATTCCTCAATGCAAGCAAAAGGTGCTCACATTCTTTCCAATATTTAGGATAATTTTGGTGACTATTAAGGACAGAGGAGCTTTGGCTGTTCCCACAGGAAAAAAAAAACTGATTGCTTTTGATCCTGGTACTCATGGTTAATAATCTGGTATATATACTACCAGAATTTTACCAATATCAATGAAATAACTTTATATATATATACACACATGTATATGTAGTGATGTTTTTAACTGATAATGCTATAACCAATGAGGTAAATCCCAATGGATAGCATCTGAAGAGCTTGTAATTCTTTTTTTCTTTTTAAGGAAAAAACCATTTATTGCAAGGTATCAGATAATTTATGAAATTTCCAGGAGGATTAAGACTGAATAAGTGACTAAATTAATTAAGACTAAATAAAATAAATGAGAAAAATAGGCAAACATCTCATTCAGAAGATTTTCAAATGATTTATGTTTGCCCTTAAGGAGGTAGAACATAATTTCCCACTCTTGGAGTGTAGATTGTGCATAGTGACTTCCTTACAAACAGTACAGTATGGAAAAGTGAGGGAAAAAAGAGTCACCTTATTATAGAGAAATCTGACAAACACTACCTCAAAGTTAATTAACATCGATTAACATCAACAGTAATAACTCATGTTGACAGTGTGCACCCCTGATTTGATGTGATGAAAAAGGAAATTTACTTCTGCAATCTTCCTCCCCAAAACACAGTACCCTATTCTAATCATGAAAAAACATCATATTTGAGACATTCTACAAAATAATTGAGTATTCCTCAAAGTTGACAAGGTCATCAATAAGCAAAGTATGAAAAACTATCACAGCTAAGAGGAGTCTTAGGAAATATGGCTACTAAATGTAATATAATTTCCTAGATAGTATCCTGGAACAGAAAAAAGACATTAGATAAAACCTGGCCAGGTGCAGTGGCTCACACTTATGATCCCAGCACTTTGGGAGGCCAAGGCTGGTGGATCAGTTGAGGCGAAGAGCTCAAGACCAGCCTACATAGCATGGCAAGGACAATATGGCAAAACCCCACCCCTACCAAAAATACAAAAATTGGCTGTGCACAGTGCTGCATGCCTATAATCCCAGCTACTCAAGTGGCTGAGGCATGAGAATTGCTTGAACTGGAGAGGTAGGTTATAGTGAGCTATGATCCTGCCACTGCACTCCAGCCTGGGTAACAGAGTGAAACTGTGTCTCAAAAAAAAAAAAAATTAAAAAGTTGAAACAATGAAAGAAAATCTAAACTAAGCACTTTAGTTACTAATAACATATCAATATTGGTTCATTAATTTTAACAACAGTACCACACTAATGTAAAACGTTAATAGGGGAAGATTGGTGTGGTATAAGATTTCTCTATACTATCTCCGCAATTTTTCTACAAATATAAAACTATTCTAAAAAATAAAATTTATATTTTAAGTAAACCTTCTCAAGCGGAGGACATCAAAACTTCAAATTATCTTTTAAAAATATATAAAGTCTAGCACTAAACCCAAAATGAGGCATTTAAGACAAAAATCAAGATAATTTTCAAAGAATCAGAAAATAGAAACACATAAGAGATTCAGATAATGGAATTATCCAACAAGGCTATCAAAATATTATGATAATATTTTTAAGGAGTTAAAAGGAAAGGTAGTGAATTCAGGAAGAAAATAGAAAATTACATTAAACAATTAAATAGAAATTCTAGAACTAAGTATTCTATAACAGAAGTTAAGAATTCCATTATGGGCTTAACAGGAGATTACAGAGTTAAAGAGAGAATTAAAGCATAAGTGACATGTAAAACAGTGTGAAAACTAATTAACATGTATATAATTGTAATCTTAGAAACAGGAAAGTTTCAGAATATTTAAAAAGACAGTGGTTGAAAAATTTCCAAATTGATGACAGACACCAAGCTACCCTGAACACTGACTTAAAACAAAAATAGTGAATAATGTTCACCGTCTATCAAATAAGCATGTGTGTGTGCATTTCAGGTGATGGGGTTAATGGACTGCATCTTTATCATCTATAGTAGTAGGTTACTAGATAATTTCTAAAACTAAAATAATCAAGAAATAGTGTATGGAACAGTGTATGGAACATTATTCAGGAGTATGAGGTTAAATATCAAAACTAAAGACAGTAAGTAGTATTGTGGAGATAACAACTTACTTCTAGAGGGCAAATGGCAGGGAAATAATTCTGTTGTATTAAATGGTGCCTGTGACTTCAGGTAGAATTTTAATGACAACATCAGGCACACAAACCATAAAAGGTCTGTATCTTTGGAAAATTATGTTAGATAATTCACAAAATGGTTTAATGCTGAGGAAGACACAGATGCCCAGAATCCATGTAAATATTTTTGAGTATCTCATGAACTCTGACAGTGCAAGAAAAAAAAGCAGTGTTTCAAAATTAATTTAACATAACTTTTGATATGAAGCATATAATTTAATTAAGCACTAATTATGGACATCTGACACTCATGTATGTCATGAAAACACATTTTCCACTTAGAAAAAATGTGAAGGGGAATTTCACAGTGGGAGAATTAAGGGTTCCTTTTGTATACATGGTTCTTTATACATGTGCAATATAATATTTAAAAATTAAAAAATTAAAAGCAGAAATTCAAGTAAAACTGAGTGTAGTACAGCAACAGAACCAAATATACACAGGAGTTTAGTGCATGGTATAGGTGGCATTTCAAATTAGTGAGAATGAGATGAATAATTCAATTAATGCCATTGCGCCAACTTGAAAAAATAAATCTCTGCCTCACTTATTATAAATTATACATTTAATATAAAAATTTAATGTAAATTAAATTTAACATAAAAAGTGAATGTAATTTCAGCTCTACCATGATAGAAAACCACAAAAATCAAGTCTAAGCTTACCAGAAACTTAACTGTGAAGGATAAAACAAATCTTAGAAGAAAAATAGGACCTAAAGGTAGACAAAAATTTCATCAACAGGACACAAAACACCATTAACTTTGAAGGGAAGAAAGTATTTATGTATACACACAAAGGCATAACATAGCTGTGAATGAGATACAAGCTGAGAATAACTTCTTAAAAGAACTGGGAGGTAACGGTGAAATTTGTTTTTAAATTTTGTACCATGTGAACATCTCACCTATTTAAATTTATAAAATTTGCAAAAATTAAGTAGAATAACATTTTTTCAGGTGAACAAATGAGGCTGATAATTCATACTTAAAATGTAAAGAAAATCTTTTAAGGAATTTATCTGAAGGACATACTCAGAGATTTGGACAAAAATTCAGGTAGATGCATTCTCTATACAGGAGAGGCACTGGATGCGCATTTAACCTGGAACCCGACTCACTAGTACTAAGATATCCACAGATATATTCCATACAATATAAATCAAGTCTTTTCACAAGAGTCAGCACTAAATTTAAAATGTACACAAGGTGGGAAGAGGAATTTCACAGGGGCCTCCATGACTTTTTATACTAAGCTATTACTCACTCATTAGGTAATTAGAGTTAAAGACAGTGGCCTCGGAGAGAAGTGGGAACTAGGCTCTTGGACTGTTAATCAGGGAATTTTCAAAAGAAAAGAAGCATTGCAAAGTACTAAACAGCAAGACTGCCTTTCATGAAGAGAAAGAAAATATCAACTAACCTGGGGCATGACTTTTACTACTTCAACATTCATTTTTGCCTTCTCTTCTGGTCTTTCTCTTGAAGAGCAGTGTCTTGGGAAGGCAAGGCTGAAGGAAGGGAAAGGTTAGTGAGAGATGAGGCCTTTGCTGCACTCCCAGAATCACTAGCCTAAAACTGTCTTCTTCTTCCCAGCTTTGGTTGATCCCATAACTGGGTATGAGCAACCTATGGCCACTGAAGGGCTGTAACTCATAACTGGTTTTTTTTTGTATTTTTTTTTTCATGCTTGAGGTCCTAAATTTAATCTTTTTCAAAGACTTACCTTCCCATTCAGATGTATTAGGTACTCTGCATAGATTAGATTATCTCGCTTTATTTTTGAAATAATCCTACAAAATAGTCATTTCCTCTATTTTTACAAGTAAAGGTGGAGTCATTCTCTTCTTGGGTCTCTGCTTCATGCTTTGAAAGTCTACTCTTTGAAAATCTGGCTCCTTTTTGGGCCAGATGGATGGGGTTTTTGGGAAAAAACAAAAGAAAAAGGAAAATCTGACTCCCAAATGCCACTAGAGGCCAGGGTTATCCTCCTCCTTCACTCAACCCCCACCATTGCAACCCTGCCCTGCTCCCTGGCAATGTTTCACGTTCCTCACCCTGAAACGATGGAACCTTTAGCACTCAATTCTGCCACTTTCACTCTCACCTCTGTCCCAGCCCCTTGATTACCCTCCTGTCACACAGAACTGAGGGTGTCTCCTGCTTCAGTTAGGAGTTTCAGTCACCCCAGCTTTTGCTTCTTACTGAAACTCCTGGACTGTGGACAGGAATTCTATTCCATGTTTCCTATCCCGGCAACACACAATTCCAAACAGCCACACTCATAAACAATCCAATCCTATCCATCTTCCAAGTAGTCTCCCCACACACAGCAGTCATACAGGGCCACAATTACAGGTATACAGGGTGACATACAAACACTAACAAGTTTCCTGGTCACACAGAGGACACAATCACAAGCACCCCAAAACAAGCACATATACAGTCACATTTCCATTGTCTAAGGACATGAATATAAGCACAGTGACTCACCAACACCTTCACACATACCCCTAATCTTACTTCTCTCACACACACAGCTCACTGTCCCCTATCTCTGTCTCACACATTCATGCTTCACAACCTCAGAGAGGTTATATTTGTAAAGCCTTTTGGATAACACACCATGGTTCACATAGTTTCTTTCTTACCCAACCACATCACTAGTCTTTCTCTCCCTCTTTCACACATACAAACATGATGTTCTCTCATACATACACATTCAATGGTATCTTTCAAAGAGGCCTCAATTACTCAAATACACCAGTATCTCACACAGATACACAAACACACTCTGATCTCTCACATTCCAACTGCTTTATCTCATGCACACAAAATACATACTGGTCGCTCTCACTCCAATCTTTTTCATACTGTGATACACCATCTCACTACCTACCAGGCCAGACAGAGACATACTCTAGTCTCTCACATACCCATTGGTCTCTCACACACTCACACCAACATACCCTATTCTCTCCCAATCACTGAACTCTCAGTCTAGTCTCTTGCTTTTACTCAGACACACACATGATCTTTCTCAGACTCCAGGGAGCCTCATACTTGTTAATCTTTCACACAGGCACATCTATTTCTCTCATACATTGATATACCCTGGCTTGCACTCTGGATTCTCACAGTCCAGTCCCTGATAACACACTCAGCTGACAAAGAGGAGAAACAAACTGTTTCTCTTACTCTACTCTCACAACACAAAACAGTTCTAAGACCAGATGTGTGGGGTCTTCACACACACACACACACACACACACCAGGCAAGCAATAAATTCTTCAATGAATACCAGGTGGGTGACCTCTAGGGCAACCCAATTCTGACACTATTTACCTGGAGATAGCATAAGATCCCATACATTGAGGGCTCAGTCCTACAAAATTGCTCCCTACTTCCAATGCCAATTGCAAGCCCCAGGTTGTTTTATGTGTGCTTCTGATTGGCTATAAAATCGGGGTTCCTATGACCCCCTCCTTGCATTCAATTAATTTGCTAGGGCAGCTCACAGAAGCTAGGGAAACACGTTTATAATCATAAAGTATTATTACAAAAGATACAGGTGAAGAAATGCATAGGAAAAGGTTATGTAGGAAGGCGCTCATCCTACAGGAGACTCCAGTGTTCAGCTATCTGGAAGTTTGATGAACTCAGTCCCTCTGGGTTTTTACGAAAGCTTCATTACTTAGGCATGGCTGGTTAAATCACTGACCACTGATGATCCATTTAACCTGTGGCTTCCTTTCCTCTCCCTGGAGATTGAGGATGGGACTGATAATCCCAACCCTCTAATCCTGCCTAGGTTGTTCTGATGACCAGCCCTTACCATGATCTGCCTACAGGCTGCCGGCCCACCAATCATTAGCATGCAAAAAGACACTTAATACTTTGGAGATTGCAAGGATCTTGGAAGTTGTATGCCAGGAAACATAACTTTGTCCCATACTTTGATCGCCTCCCTCTCTCTCACAAACTAATACCAACATACCATAGTCTCACTCTACTTTGATCGCCTCCCTCTCTCTCACAAACTAATACCAACATACCGTAGTCTCACTCTTCAGACTCTCACAGTTTAGTCTCTCTCTCACACACGCCAGCCTCTCAAGGAGCCTCACATGACTGGTCTTTCACACACAGCCACATGTTCATCTCTCTCACACTCACTGGTGTCATGCTGTGTAGAGAACACTCAGGTTGTGAGAAAGAGACTCACACACACGAACACACCCTGGTCTCACACTCTGGTCTCAGTCTGTCAGACACATATAAACCACAGCCTCACACACTGACGGGTCTTTCACCCAAAACACGCATTTCTCACACTCACTGGTCTCCCTTTCACACATTAACACACCAGTCTCACACTCTGGCCTCACACGGTCTAGTCTCGCATACATGGTGATTCTTCTCTCTGAAACACACACACACACACACACACACACACACACACCGGCCTGTCATTGAGCCTCACACACCGACCAACCAGCCTTTCACACACAGGCACACGCCCATCTCTCTCACACTCACTGGTCTCCCTTTCACACATTAACACACCACAGTCTCACACTCTGGCCTCGCACCATCTAGTCTCGCATACGTGGTGAGTCTTTTCTCTCACACACACACACACCCCGGCCTGTCATTGAGCCTCACACACCGACCGACCGGCCTTTCACACACAGGCCCACGCCCATCTCTCTCACACTGGTCTCTCACACGCCAGCCCGTCTCCCTCTCTCACACGAATACATCCTGGTCTGACGCTCTGGACACCCGGTCTGTTACACACTTACACACCCACACATCCCGCATCTTCTCACAGAGCTTCACACGCTCTCTTTCAAATGCAGGCACACCCCCATCTCTCTCACACTCACTGGTCTCTCGCACTGACCCGTCTGGCTCTGTCACACACGAACACACCCTGGTCTCACACTCTGGACTCTCGGTCTTCACACACACACACACACACACACACAGAAACCGCACCCTCTCACGAAGCCTCACACGCTGACCGATCTTTTACACACAGGCACACCCCCATCTCTCCCACAGCTCACTCCCGTGGTCCCGCCGCCCCAAGCCGCCCCGAACGCCCAGCAGCCCCGAGCCGCGGCCTCCGCCCCGCAGACTCGAGTACGCGCGCCGCGCTGGCCTCTGGGAAATGTAGTCGTCTTGGGGACAGAAGACGCGGCTGGGCCTTCGCGACCCGGGTCTGAGCCGCCCGCCTCGCCTGCCCTTCCTGGCCCAGCCCTCGGGCTCGGACTCCCAGACCACGCAAAACAAACCCCCGGCCTCGTCTGGCACCCAGAAGCTCTCATCCGAAGGACTTCTTGAGTCGACGCCGGAACCTCCATCGCGCAGGCGCCAGCCTCTCTTCAGGGGTCGGACGTGACGGGCGGAGACGAGGCGTGGCCTAGCGTTGAGGGGCTTGTCCTCGGGCTGCTGTGGGAGTGGGAGGGAACTTAGAGACAGAGCGGGCGGTGCCTGCGCAGTACGTGATTATGCCAGGTGGGCGTGGCCCAGGGTTTCCGGCGGCTAAGAGCGGGAGTGTGCGCAGGCGCAAAGATTGCGCTCTCCCCCACCCCCCCCTTCGCCTAGAAACCAGAAGAGTCCCTAGTTACCGGTTTCTGGGGACTGGGAGTGAAGCGCGCGATGGCTGAGCCTTCGGTGTGAGCATGTGTGCGGCTTTGTGACGCTGTCTGTGCCTCTATGATCGCGATGTCATTCGGAGCGCGGCCTTCTGTGCCTGTCCGTGGGAATGTGATTATCTTTCTGTGCTAAGCTTATTTTGGAATAAGAACAGCGACTCGGAACCCCTACCGTGTTGTGACTCTAGCAAATTAATACCTCTCTCAGCTGCAAAATGGGAATATCACTGCTCAGAGGCAGTGAATAACACGAAGTTTTTGGAACCAGTCCGCTAGGATTGAACCGCGTTCCGCCCCTTAACAAAATGGAAATGGTCCCTGTTTTAGGGGACTAGCCCTTACTAGGGAAACTGTAGAATTAGTATGGGAAGGTGAGACAAATAAGGTAAAGCAATTCAGGGGGATACAGCAGAGAAAAAAAAAATCCCTGCTCTCTTATTATATAATTTGCTTTGAGGTGGAGAGAGACAAGCCACAAATCCATGAGTTAGATAAACAGTCTGATGAACAGTAAAAAGGGCTATGGAGAAATATAACACAGAGAAGGTTGTATCGTATACATTTTTTCTATTGTCTCTTATAATGTCTTAACATCTCAAAACAACCTTTCTGCAGCAGACACCAGCCAAGTGACCTCTACTCCAATTCAATTCTGACGCTACCTGGAGAGCATCGGAACCTACAAGTTAGACAGCTCAGTCCCACAAGACTGTCCCCAACTTCCCATGCCAATTCCAAACTCCAGATTGTTGTACCTGTGTTTCAGAGAGATGTGCTATAAATTGGGGCTCCCACAACCGGCTCCTTGGGTTCCATTAATTTGGTAGAGCAGCTCACAGAACTCAGG